TGTTGTTGCGGTCACTCCCTCCCCTTCTTTATTTCTTCCTTCAAAGTGACACGCAGGGCCAGTGTTGCCACTTTGGATTTTTTATATCTAAATTTAGATCTTTTTTATTGCATTTAGATACTGTTTTTGACGTTTAGATCGTAAACATTTTTCTAGATTCTTTTCATATGGAGTAAGATATTTTATAATTTTTTTTTCCCTTTATTGTCAATTTAATAATTACTGTGTAAAATATTAACTACAATATTTTTGTTTTGGTCTGGCACGTACATTGTGACAACTTCCATTACTTGAACTTTGAACTCTCACTGGGGTCAACGCACAAATATCTGGCAGCCCCGGCACTGATTAATAAAAACGCGCGTAAATCATACTAACTTTGTTTCAACCGTATCCTCACTGTGCTGACTTTGCGTTTCTTTTTCATGTGATTTAAAAAAAAAAAATTGCTCACCTTCATATGTGGCTTTCACTTTGAAAAAAACCTTTCAACATGCCAAAAGTAAAGTATGAGCAAACAATTTGGAAAGAGTGGTTGCATGATGACAGAATTAGAAACTGGGGATATGACCAAAGCTTGTTGTAAGTACTGCAAGTGTAAAATTAAAGCGAAAATTCAAAACTCAAAGAGTCATGCAGAGACTAAAAAAGCACGAAACTGCAGTTTCATTTAAAGATATTACACCGCTGACATCTGTTTTCAGAACTATACTGATAAATGAATCATCAAAAGTTGAAGTATCAGTCGCAATGTTTTTAATTTGTCACTGCACAATTTCTAACTGTGACCATTTGATCGATTTCTAAAAAAATCTTGGACTAGTTCAATTTGAAAAGTGTGATGTAGAATGTATAGTTTAGGAACTGAAGGACCTTTTAATCAGCAAACAGTTAGGCTTGAAGAATTTAGCTGTAATTGGTACTGATAATGCCTCAGTGATGGTTGGTATAAACAATAGCGTTTATGCCAAGTTGAAGAAAGCTAACCCATCCTTAATACTTATAAAATGTATGCGTCATTCATTGCAGCTAGCATTATCACATGCTTCATCTAAATATTTACCAAGGAATTTGGAATGCCTTATCGCTGAAACACTTTACTGGTTTTCCAAATCATTTGTCAGACAACAGCAATACATACAATACATTATATACAGCCTTGAATGATGGTTCCACACCACCGAAAATTCTGTCAAATTGCAAAACTAGATGGTTATCAATTTAACCAGCTGTTGAAAGAATTATGAAGCAATGGCTGAAGTAGAAGACACACTTTAAAATAACAAGACAAAGTGAAAAGTGCTACACAGCTGAAATACTATATATAGTATGTACAGTGATGAATTTTTTTTTTTCATTTATTCTCTTTTTATAACCTATTCTAATGGAAGTTCAAAAAGTTAATATACTGTTCGAATCTAAACTTGTTGATAAAGTTAAATTACTTGATGATCTCACCTTGTTATTTCACTCGATAAAAGACTGGTGTTGCAAACTTCTGAAGCTGATTTGTTCACTTGCACTATAAAGAGCTATTTGGCTCCTAAGCCACACCTTGGATATTAAATCGAATCAAAAATTGATGATTTAAAAACAAAAGGACTGTTAACAGGGAATGAAGAGAACAACTTAAGAAGACGCTGTCAAATTTTCCTTATCTCATTATTGAAGCAGAGACTTCCTGAAAATCTAGATGATTTGAAAAATATTTCACTTTTTTCTGTGAGCAACATACTTCAGCCAATAAAGGACATACCTAAATATTGTAAAGTTATGAAATTTCTAGGGGCTACTGATAATAGTGTCGCGGTAGCAGAAAATCAGTTAACCAAAATAACGTTAGCTGAATTGACAAACAAAACAGAAACTAAAGCGTTTTGGAGTGAAGTGAGACAATTTAAAGATGTCTCATCAAACAGTCCATTCTGTAAGCTCTTTAAAGTGCTATGTCTGCCATGATACTACCCCACTCAAATGCTGACGTAGAAAGAGTTTTCAGTGCTAGGAATTATATCAAATCTAACCTAAAAAAACAGGATGAAATTTGACCTCTTAAATGCTATCGTGCCATTAAAATTCGGCCTGATAAGACTAGAGAAAAAAGCCACTTATAAAGAAATTTGAACAGCTAAAGCATACAGGGTCATTTTGGATCTGAAGCTTCAACTTCATTATCCAAGCTAAGTTTATTCTGTGGATCTTGTGAGGCAGACATCAGTGAAGGTGAGGACATGATTATGTAGGGTAAGTCATAACAAAAGCTATGTAATTTTTGACTTTTTCAATTTGGATGTTTTTTCTAGATCTTTTCCACGCAGCTTTAGATCTTTTTAGATATTTTTTGACACCATTTTGGATATTTTTTGTCAAAGAAAAGTGGCAACACTGCGCAGGGCATCTTCCCTGCTCTGGAGCCTCGACTAACAAACACTACTGGTGAAGATGTTTCGAAGAGAGCTGGGGTTGGAGCGATTCAAGGCCGTAATTTAAGCTCCTGATTTAGCGACCTGCGCAAGGCAAGGAGTAGAATTGGTGCCCAGATTATAAACTTGTTTATAGGGAAAATAGGGCACCCTTTTTTACCCTGTTGGCATGCCATGCAAGAAAATGAGAATGGTTAGACATTCACACATTTCAAAATACAACAGTCGTGTGTTCTAAGTTAGAATTTTATGTATCTTTTAGTCAGGTCTGTGTGAAAAATTCAATACTAACTAAAGCTAAAAGTAAAGGACCCCTTTCTACGCCTTCGGGCATATTGGGCATTTAGGGCTAGACCTATATCGTATAGAACAATCGGCACTTGGTGGGTGATGTGGTCAACATTACGCCGGCTGCCTTTACTTCACGGGACTGCACCTGGTACATGTCACATACTGCTTGTGTCGCGTGCCTGATTTAAGGATTTCTCCTTAAGAACAAACAGCACTCTGAAATATGATAATGTTGAGGCGTCGGCTCGTATTGGTCTAAGGGATATCCCGTGGCCAATATACGCTCAACCTATTTCAGAAGTAGGGCAACTCAAATTATAGCACTAGAGAATATCTAATAATCCTAGGCGCAGTTTGGCTGGACACCCCCACTACTATAAAAAGATAGCCCCCAGGCTTTGATAGTGTACTATCACAGCCATGTTAACACAGATTAAAATTACTAATCACACAAACATAAAAGCTAGACAGTTAAAATAGTAAAACAGGGACACCCAAGTCAGCAATGAACATTTCTGAATGGATGTAATAATTGCAACACATATATATCAAGACAATCAAAGATGGTCCCCGGTGACTGGAATTCAGGAACTAAAGTAGATGCAGTACTATTGAAACCGCCAGGTTTAGTTCCTGAGAGTAACAGCGATCATCCCTGTAACTCTGGGTAAACCTGTAAATAGAGCATGTGGTATGTCATCTCAGATGTTACTTATCATTTTGGTAGGTCACTGCTATCCTCAGTCCATGATGATCTGAACAGGCTGACTCAATAGACTGCTTTTCTTCTAGATGATCTGGCAAACACTGACAGCGTTCATGTATGGGAATAAAGGTATTGTGCTGGAGCCCAAAAAAGCTCGTAAAGAAGGATTCCTTGGATTGATGACATGGGTGGCCTGCAACAACTGCCTCTCAGCCACTGGAACTCACACAAGCTCCTGTCAAGTTGAAGTTATGGTGATAGTACATACAATTAGTGGATGGTAGTTGGTTGGACTGTGAATCGTTTGCCTGACTTCCATGGAGGTATCCTCCTGTGTCAGGAAGAAACTCAGAATTAGTATTCATCCTAAGAGTCACATACCAAGCTCAAATTATTTCCCTCCACCCTTCTCAGTCACTCAGGGGATAGCTCTCAGGAACAGGAGACAATTTCCCCTTCAATTATCTCTGTCTGTCCGTCAGTACAAGATATAGGAGACAAGGTCCATAGTGGAGATTTGGAGTGGAGATAGATAGGCCTAAAACACATAGATCATCCTCTCTCCACCTTTCCATCTACACTTGCAGACACACATTCTATCTTGTTCTTACATATATAGTTTACACCTCCACAATTCTCCCACTGCACACCCTGTGTTTGTTGTGCTAAAAATAACCTCTGACGTCACAGCGTCTTGCAGGCTGAAGTGTGACCCAGTTAAATATGTCCGCTAATCGACCCAAACTCGGTCGGTTCGTTAAATAACAATTAGCTTGCTAGGTTTATTTTATTTATAATAGTATTGGGTCAGGTAGGGAACAAACTATCAGCTTGCGAAGGGAAAGGTTTGATTTCAGGGGCTCGAGTGTCTGGACATTAAGAACGGCCTAGTTCTGTGCTGTCACACAGCTGAATCTTTCCTCCCTGCAGCAGCGGCTAACTTTATAGATACACATATCATGGTACTTGTAAACTATGATCAACCTACCCAAGCTTAGGAATCCTTCAAAGATTAAACTGGTATTTTGAATTCGCCAAGATTTAATCAGAGAGGTGAAATACTTCTCTACGCCTAGGATGTCTGGCAAAGAATGACACCGCCTGATCTCGCTTGGCGTCTCTAGAAAGAAGTCCCGTATTAGTACGCTAAGGAGTAAAAAGGTTTGCGTGAATTCTGAATATTATACCAGAAAATATCTATCCCACAGTTCCAAGTTTGAAAACGTAGACTTCTCAAAACAACTAGAGGGTACAGAAATATCTATCCCACCAGATAGAGGTATAGATTGATATGAGGGACTATATACCTACCGGACGGGTCTAAATTTGAAATGTGACCTACCCGCTAGGGTCGTCAACGTCACGAATAGTCTAATGTGCAAGGTTTGGTTGATTCACTCCACGACAGTACATATTCACGAATGCATCGATCTAGGAGCCAATGTCATTTCTAAAGAAAGCAGTGTTCCGTCAAGACCCGAACCGAGGACGTTCCTATCCGCAGGCGAGCGTGTAGATGTTACACCAAGTCCCTTCCCCTAACTAAATGAGTTGATGTAAATTTTACTTCCAGGTCAAAGGTCTTAGTGTGACAGTTCGAACCTCGGAGAATATGGCGGCGCTTTTAGATGATGTTATACGGAAAATGGAACAGCTTCTGAATGGAAAGGAAGCAGCTGTAGAGGTAATGTTTTTTTCATCATCATCATCATCATCATCCCGTAACAGTATGTGTCGTTAGGTCGCCAGTTACTGTTGACTGTCTGATTAGCTCTCTCCACCATTGGCGGTCAGTTGCGATGGACTTCATGGTTGCATGCCTGAAGCCTGTCCAGTCGGTCAGGTTCTGTAGCTAGGTCTTTCTTGGTTTGCCTCTTCTCCTCTTTTTTTCTATTGAGCCCTGCAGTATTGTTTTTTAAGAAGCCGTTAAATCTTATTACGTGTCCATACCATTGTATTTTTCGCCTTTTTAATGTAGTTAAAAGAGGCGCATAGTTGCCAATGTGCTGTACAATTTTATGGCGAACCTCTTCATTTGTAATGTGGTCTCTGTATGATATGCCACAATTTGTTATGAAACACCGCATTTCTGATGCTTGTATCTTTCTTTTAAGTTCAGCTGTTAAGGTCCACGTTTCACAGCCATATGTAAATGTAGCTAGTGCTCTGAGCAATCGAATATTAGTTTTGCATGAAATGTTTTTGGATCTCCATAATGTTTGCTACTTGGCAAGGACTGGTGTTGTCTAACGTTTTATTTCGCTGATAATTCTTTGTAACTTTTTTTTAAAACCTTTCTGTATCAAGGTGTTGCTACATAACCGGTTTTATCCCAAGCAGTTGAGCTTAAAAGGAAGTATACGTAAAAGTTAAGGTCTCTTTTCTGCGCCTTTAGTTGTATTGGAAATATAGGGCTAGACCTATGTTTTAAAGACCAATCGGCATTTTATTGGTGATATGGTCAATATAACGCCGGCTGCCTTTACTTCCAAGGACTGCACCTGGTACACACTTAAGACTGGGTCGACCTGGGAGTCAAAATCATTAAAAAAAATCTGGCTCCGTCAAGGCTCGAACCCACGACCTTTCGATCCGAGGGTGGGCGTCTAGCCGCCAACGTCACGCAACTCCTAAGAAATACTTAAGCCTGATGAATTTAGCAAGGGCAGTCCGAAAGAAAACACCATCCGGTAATTTCGTGCAGCAGGGTGCCAGCTCTGAGCTTCATGAACTCAGGTGGGCCCACCTCCGAAAGTGTATAGGAATCGTGGGCCGAAACACTTGTCGACGAGGAAAATTTCTACTGACGACTGGTAGATCCCTGCTGTACTTGCTCCCTGTGAGTTTATTCCTATTGTACGTTGCTAGCCCACAAGACTACCAGGAAAGACTGGTGACTCTCGGGAAAGACCTTGTGACACCTATGGTAAGACTGGCCCCCCGGTATCGCCGGAGGGGATAAACTGACATCTGGAGACAAATGTCGACTGTGGACCGGGTTGATCACCCCTAACACAGTATAATACCTCCGATTTCGTACAACCACATAGAAATATGCCCCCAGGGCCCTCCGAAATGGGGGGGGGGAGAATGAAGGGCCCAATCAAATTGATACTCTCGGTGACGACTATGCTAGCCCCCGGACTCAGATACTCGCCCAACGTCCGGGCTGGCTCTGTACATGTGAAAAGAGCTTCACGGGGTTGCATGGTCTGAGAACGCATGCCGGAAGAATGAAATGCGAGGGTGCTCCACGCAGTAAACGCCGTCGCAAAACTACTACTCCTGTGGTAGTTTCTGAGTCGTCAGGGAACGACGGGCAGGGTGAACCCCACTCGCCCGGAGAGGACCATGACGTCGACTGCGTGCGATGACTTTCTTTTATCTTCTACTGGCTCGCCTCATCGCACGCTCGCTGCCATCTCACAAAACCGACATCACACGACGAGCAGAAAAATGGACGACTGGAAAACAACACGATACTGTTCCAGTACTTTAATCTTCCACTCGCGGCTTACACCGCCGGCACATGAACTAGACAACTGTCCAGGCACACATTATAATGCAAGTATCAAATATTACCTTCAAGCAAAAATTACAATCGTCCTACACTAACATCTTAAACGAAACACAGCAGCTGTCCTGACAGACAAACTCAGACGACCCGCAGACATATTACTGGCCAGCTTTTTTCGCCAAGTTGGACTGGAACAAATTCACTCACAAAAACATCTGCTGAATCCACACATCATCCACCGCTGTCCATGCACACTGTTCCTAGGTCCAAAACGAGACTGCCTCACAAACCTTTTCTTCGCTATTATATAGCCCTCTGATCTGTCCTGTTCTCGAATATTCTGGATAATTTCATTCTCACGAATTCCCCGTAGAATGTCGTGTCTGGCCCGTGATAATTCGCAATTCACACAAATCCTGCCAGTCAACCTTCATGGTTCACGTGAACAATCATTTTTCACATAAACCCTGACTTTCAGATGTCTCTCATGAAACTCAAGACATAAATCTCGTGTTATCTCAGTCAGTCAAACATTCGCCTTACATTTATTACTGACGTCATCTATCGGACATAACTTAAATGGGGAGAAAATGACTCACTACATTCTCCCCCACCCCAAAAAAATGTTTTATATTTTCAATCAATCAGGTGTGAACATTTCACTGAACATTGTGATTCTAGACCTTTGTAGTGAATCATTTTCGACAAGTTCATTTCCAACCAAGTTCCCTTTACCTCATTAGGTTAACAATTCAAACACTCTAAAATGCCATCTGTTGGGTCTTTGCACGACTGTGAATACCTTAATGGGATCCTCACCCCAGGCACTCCCCTTTTAGTGCGGAAGACCAATAATCTGGCTCCATAGGTATCCCCACCCAGTTCTAAAGTCGGTATACAACCGAACCCCTCTCCTGGCACCCCCCGATCGGTGCGGAAGTCCAAAATCTTGGCTCTAAAACCGAAGTGTGACCCCATGAAGTCCCACCCTCGCTATTCCCATTAATGAAAGCTCTCAACAATGGCTAAATCAGCAATGTATGGTTTTGTTCCCAACTATGTAAGGTACAAGATGTAGTTAATTACCTTGTCTTCAGAAGCTACAACATGTCTCATTAACACACATATTCAAATTAAATGCTACACCAATTCAATTTAGTATACTAGTAAATGTAACATTTTCTGGTAAGGTGTATTTTAATCCTAAATGTTGTCTCCCTTTAATTCTAATTGTTTACTATATTATACCCGTTCAAATCAAAACATATACATTTTTCCTAGTTGTAAATTCATATAATACATTCATACAAAAATACAATGCATACCCTTGCATAAAATGATTTCAGTTAATACAAGTTGTAATAAAGTTAACATTGAACACATCAAACTTACTTATATTTGCACCGACCAATATGATGCTTTTCCTGTCGACTGAATGTGTTTAGGACGTAGGAAAGCTTTATTGTTATCGCTTTTTTGTGATATGTGCGATTATACGATGAACTTGAAGCATTATTGATCACGAGACATCAATGAGTGCTGATCTTGAGGTATTGTAGGCTTCTCATACTGTAGTTTCCTATTAAATGGTTTGCCACGGCTGAAAATGTAGAGCTGCGACACAAATACCCAGTGTCAGAGCTGTGGTTCTTTTGATTTCCGTATAGTTAACACTCTACCCGGTGTTTTACTGTCTTTCTATTTTTTGAAAAAACAGATCCGAAAAACAGGATCTGGTGTCAATGCTTCTCTGTGTTGTTCAGTGTAGATTTCCCACTACACTTTACCACACTTTAGTCGGCAGCAAAATTTTATCAAACAACAAGGCTTCGGAAGTTTTGCAGAGGGGCAGCCCTAGTCTCACATAATCTCTGTGTAGACTTACTGTTGCATTCCTTTGCTAACATTGATGATCGCTCCTTGACACTGTCACTGTCTGCAATCTTTCCTTTGCAACTTTGTTGATTGTTGATTAATTGGTCGAAACTTAAAACGTGGACTTGTCTATCAGTATTCAGAGCCTGGAATTTGTCCGAACGTTGTTCAATCTGTGAACTATCGAATATGGGTTGTTGTTATGTCGCCATCGATCTTCCCCGCTTACGTTCTTATGTTGAACTGGTACTACCTGACGTCAGGTTGATAACTAAACTCATTTCCAATGTCTCAGATTTTACTGTACGAAACAACTTTCCTATCCTCAAATGTTTGGACGAGTTCCCCAATTTGCGATGACTTTCTTTTATCTTCTACTGGCTCGCCTCATCGCACGCTCGCTGCCATCTCACAAAACTGACATCACACGACGAGCAGAAAAATGGACGACTGGAAAACAACACGATACTGTTCCAGTACTTTAATCTTCCACTCGCGGCTTACACCGCCGGCACATGAACTAGACAACTGTCCAGGCACACATTATAATGCAAGTATCAAATATTACCTTCAAGCAGAAATCACAATCGTCCTACACTAACATCTTAAACGAAACACAGCAGCTGTCCTGACAGACAAACTCAGACGACCCGCAGACATATTACTGGCCAGCTTTTTTCGCCAAGTTGGACTGGAACAAATTCACTCACAAAAACATCTGCTTAATCCACACATCATCCACCGCTGTCCATGCACACTGTTCCTAGGTCCAAAACGAGACTGCCTCACAAACCTTTTCTTCGCTATTATATAGCCCTCTGATCTGTCCTGTTCTCGAATATTCTGGATAATTTTATTCTCACGAATTCCCCGTAGAAAGTCGTGTCTGGCCCGTGATAATTCGCATTTCACACAAATCCTGCCAGTCAACCTTCATGGTTCACGTGAACAATCATGTTTCACATAAACCCTGACTTTCAAATGTCTCTCATGAAACTCAAGACATAAATCTCGTGTTATCTCAGTCAGTCAAACATTCGCCTTACATTTATTACTGACGTCATCTATCGGGCATAACTTAAATGGGGAGAAAATGACTCACTACACTGCGGAGGAGCACATTTGATGATTTCTGAGGAAGTGCGTTCCGAGATCAGGTTTCCACATGCGAGTGATAAGGTGGTGTGGTGTAAGTTGGAGGCTACATTATGTGAGGTACTTAAACAAGATTTAAACAAGAAGTCGTTTGGCGACAAGCTTATAAAATTTGGTGATGTTATATATGAACACTG